ATATAAAAGCTATGCCGTTCTTATCATAATTTGTCTTACAGTGACTCGTTCAAACTACAAATATTATTAATATAATAATGGAAGCCTTTTTCACCAAAATTCCAAACAAATCTATCTATTTATTTCATTCGCTCTCCAAAATTTCAAAAAACAATCTTAAAAAGCTCAAGAGAAAGATATTTCTACATGATAACGTTAGTGGACCGGAAGATATTTATTTCTTTTTCTGCTTTGTAGCAAACACGGAAGTCAATGCTTATATCAACTTTATGTTGATTTATTTAATAATTTAATATTTGTACATGTAGACTCATCTTTCGTTTGGGCCATGCTATGTAGTCCATAGTCTTTAAGTCCAAAAAGTTGACTTTATATCCAAGCTCATTAGAATTATTTTTATTTATTGAGCATTTATATAGTTTTCATTTCATCATTTTCTTATAATTATTTTATATCCATTGATCATTTATAAAGCTTTGAGTTCATCATTTTGATTTTTTTTTTCAGTGCATGTATATTATCTAAATTTATAGTTGATAAGTTAATTATTAATTAAATGAATTTGAGTTTATAGTTGATCACTTATGATTCATGAAAAATTAAGTAATATAATAAATATAGTAGATAATATTAGTAATAAATAAGCTGAAATAAATAATTCAATGAACATTTGCGAAAAATTACCTAGAAAAACTTATTAAGATGAAGTCTAACTTTTTTATACACACATGAAGGCATAAAATGTGGGGATTATATTAAGGAGTTGGTTTCTCATAGGAACTAGTGTTGATACTCGTGCGATGCACGGGGTGCAATACAAAAGATATTTTTTATTTAAATATTATAAAATTATTTAAGACAATATGAAATTATATTCTCCATAATATACTATTCAGTAATAATATGACATTTATTTATTTGTTATTATTGTTAATTTCTATTTATATACATACATACATATATATATATATATAGTTTTTGACTATTTAATATATAAATTTTATTGTTTATAAGTTTATAAAATATTATAAATGTATAAGATCATATTATATTAGCATACAAATTACTTGTATGTACTTATAAGATTGTCGTTTATCATATTCTTATAATGTTTTTTTAGCAGTTCATAATTTGCACATTGCTTTATAATTGATCAACGTTTAACCCATAATATTTATCTTCCGCTATAGTTATTAAGTGCATTATATGTTAAAAATTTTGATAAATAAATTTTAATTTTTAGTAACTTTAACCCTTATGCAACATACAAATTTTTTATGGTTAAATATTTTTTTTTTATGTTTTTATTTTTTATTTATATTTATTTCTTTAATTCATGTTTTCAACATACATAATGAGTTACATAGTATCTATTCGAATATTTAGATATATTATATATTTCCATAATTACCAAGTGCTATAATTTAAATTATTATACATTGTTTTATTATTAACTTATTTTTTATTTATAAAATAGTATATAAGAAAAAAAATATATTTTTAAAATTGAATAGATTTTTGATGTACATAGATACTTTTAAGGTGAAATTTATAATTCTAAATTGCACCCGACCGTCAAATTTTATTTTTACTAGTATATTATTTATATTTTAATATCTACAACTATAGATGATAATATATTTAATCAAATCAATTTCCATGATAATTTTTTGATTTGTGTCAATAAATTACTATTAAATTAATATAAGATCTTATTGAAAATATATCTAATAAATTTACGGTCACAATTTCAATTCAAGTCAATTTGTAGTTACTGAGTAATAGCCATTGAGTGTATACAAATTAATTGTGTTTTTTTATGCATAAGATTTGCTAGTAAATAAATATTAATTAAATGCCAAATATAGACGATAAAATTCATGGCCCAAAATCATGCCATTTATGGCGATAAAGATTGATCCATTATATAGATATAGATTTCAATCCCCATTTAGTGATATATGTCTCCCTTCAATAAATAAAAAAATAACACATAAAATATCTGGGATTATGAAAATGTATTTTTTGTTATAATTTTATTTTTAGTTTTTAAAAAGGTGCATGTTTTAGTACTTTTACCAAAAATATAGCCTTCTTTATTTTTTGGGAAATTTACACACATCCCACGTGATTTACAGATAATTGCAAACCTACTATTAAGGATAAAATATTTGTAACCTTACGGAATAAGTGCATATTATTTGTCTTAATGGGAGATTATGTGTTACCATAATAAAACAAAACGGATTCAGTTCCCTTTTTTTAGGTAACTCCTTTCCATAAAAAAATAAAAAATAAAAAAAAAACCAACAATTTTCAAAACTTAATAATATTTTTGTTTGTTATCCATTTTTTATATATAATATATCGAATTAATCATCTTTTGATGAGGTTTAATATGACATCTATATTGTATACATAAAATAAAAATAATTTTATTTTTTATTATAAATTATCTATTAATACTAATTAAAAATTAATAAAATTATTTATATTGTGGTTGCATATTCAATAAGAAAATAAAAAACAGAAAACTCTCTCTCTCTCTCTCTCTCTCTATATATATATATATATATATACTTATATGTTATATAAATTGTTATAGATTATAAACCAAGTATAAAAACGCAATATATACTAAAAATATACTAATTATAACCACAACATATACGGAAAAATATTTCGGTGTCCGTCTTGTACAAAAAAACGCAATATATATAATAAAAATATACTAACTATAACCACAATAGACCTTGCATTAACATGTTTTATAAACTAAATATATATGTGATTCGGTCTACAAAAACATATACTAAAAATATACCGCCTATATACACAATGTTGATAAACGGATTTGATCAACGTTAACAATGTAATATTAACAGAAAAGATTGCTGAAAATGAGATTTTTATTGAATATTTTGAAGTCGGTTTTAGTACAAAGAGGTCGGTTTTTTACTGTATTTCAAGTCGGTTTACAATGGGATTACCGAGTTGAATATATGAGTGTGTATGATCGTTTTTCGAACCCTTCTTTCGTCTTTGGAGCTGCTATTTATAGTTATGTCTGGCACACATCCCTAGACAAATCATTCCCGTTTTAATGAAGATTTGACATCTTAGGGGCGGCGATGACGTAGAAGGACTTTTTAGGTAATGATTAGCATGGGCGCGCCTCTATTTGTGTGACGAGTGTCACATCTGTCGGATCGAACTCGGTTTGTCTTGCGATGTCGGTATTTTGATTGATCTTCAATATTCTACGACTTCTTAATAAATAATTCTTTGACCGAGTTGGCTTTTTCCAAGGTCCGGACGACTTGTGGTGATGACTTCCGAAAATTCTTCGGTATCGTTTAAGGGTACCGAGGTGAGATTACCGAGATGCAATGTGTACTGCTTGAGGTCATCCAGAATTCAGTTTTATGAATTAAACTTCGCGATTCCTTTAATTCTTCCATAATACCAAGATATTCTATCTTGATATCAACACACAACATATACTGTCGATAAATCTGGATCTTACGAATATACTGTCTATATACACAACATATACTGAATATAACATACATATATTGAATCCAAAACTCCATCCAATTTTGTCGAAATTCCCAAAATAAAATTCTCACTCATGCAAATACCACAAATTAACGAATCTATTGAGATCTTAGATTCAGTTGATAATCAAACACCAAAAAATGGGGAGTTCGAGGACGTGCTCGACGTTACTGGTGATGGTGAAGGTCTACTGGTGCAGCAACAGGGCTATGAGAAGGCAGTGTCGCTGAGAGGGACGTGTTTCATGATAGATTATGGAAGACGAGCACGAGGCCAGGGCTGTGTAAAGAATACGAGGTTGAGGATCGACGGCGTCCCCACAGAGTCTTGGTATCACCGGCTTCTGAAACATGTTAATTGGCGTAGATCTTATTACGACAGTCCGACACTGATAAAAGCCACAAAAACGGTCGAAGAAGGCCCGGATCGTCAAAATTCCCAAGTGCGGCAGGCGGTGGGAAGCTTGGTCTTGCTGAATTTGGAAACATAGTGGTGGATCGTGAATTCAAACAAAAAACATTAGAGAAGTGCGAGACTACGGAGGATCTGAGAAACACCACCGACAGTCAGAAGCTTGTTCCCGTCGTATAGCAACAGAACGGGGGTCATCGGCCATGTACCGATAATTTAGGAAGTTTGGGCGAGAATAAATTGAAAAATTCATAAACTAGAAATTGGAATAGACGAGAAATGAAGAGGATATTGAGCGACTTGGAAGAGTGTTGACACCGGATTTTGAAAATCTATGTTCAGAAGTTCAGAAATAAGGCTTTTTGGCGTGGTTGCGGTTGAAGGAAGACGATAGAAAGAAGGAAATTTGAGAATTGGAGAATAATTTTGGTAGGGGCCGTTATAATTTTTGGTTAGCGAAATTCATGGCTAATGGTAATTTCATCAGTTATCCAAATTAACGTGATGTTATATGTATGCAAATAAATGGGATGATGTTAGTAATTTTGCAAATAAAAATATATGAGTTATATAAATGTAATAAAAATGACATGATGAAGCGCACAAGGTAATTTTCTCTTATTTTTATTTTTTGTAATGGGCCCGAAAAAGTGACTGTGGTCCATAATAATATACGTCGTATCCACACTTTATAACAAATGGGCCTCACATCCAAAAATATAAAGAAACCCAAAAGCGAAGCTCAATTCACATTTTTTCACATTCCATTATATTTATAGGTTACAGTTTGTTTCTAATAAAATAGTAAAAATATTTAAAAATATGTGATTGGGTGATTGAATAATATTTATTTTTAAAAAATAAAATAATATATATTTTTATTTTTTAATTATGTTAAGGACTTCATAAATAAAAAGCGAGTAAAACGAATAATAACAAATTAACAATCAACATGAATATAATATAATTCAGTAGAGATGTCCGAACTTTTGAATACGCAAATTCCGATGATTTATTACAATCCCATGTAAATGAGGTCGGTCAAGGAGGGCCTGAAGCTCCAGGCCCGCGCCATAACCTCCGGCCGCCTCTCCACCACCGTCTCCGCCAACCAGCTGATCAACCTCTACTCCAAACACGGCCTAATCGACGATGCCCGCAACCTGTTCGACAAAATGCCCCACCGAAACGTTTTCTCTTGGAACACTATAATCAACGCCTACATCAAGTCCCGAAACCTCCGCACGGCGAGGGCCCTTTTCGAGTCCTCCCCTTATCGAGACTCCGTCACGTACAACTCCATGATTTCCGGCTACACCCGTTTGGACGGCCACGAAACAGAGGCCATCGAGTTATTCGCCCGAATGCACCTCGAAAGAGATGGGCCCTCCTTAATCGACGAGTTTACCCTCACCACAATGCTCAATCTTGTGGCGAAAGTTAAAATCTTGCGTTACGGGACACAGGTGCATTCGTATATGGTGAAAACCAGAAATGACTCGAGCGGGTTCGCGCAGAGCTCGTTAATCGACATGTACTCAAAATGCGGGAGCTTTCCGGATGCTTCTAAAGTTGTTGTAAATGGATGTTGGGTTGATTTGGTTGTGAAAAATGCATTTGTGGCAGCTTGTTGTAGAGAAGGAGAATTGAAAATGGCGCACGAGATATTTTTACGTAATCCCGAGTTAAACGATAGTGTTTCTTGGAACACGATGATATCGGGGTGTGCCCAAAACGGGTTCGAATCGCAAGCGGTCGAGTTATTCAAGCTCATGGTTGAAAAGAGATTCGAATTGAACGAGCACACGTTTGCTAGTTTACTCGCAGCTTGTTCCGGTTTGAAAAGCTTGAATCTTGGGAAAGAAGTCCACGCACGTGTCCTTAAAAACGGTTTGTTTTCGAACCCGTTCGTAAGTAGTGGCATTGTCGATATTTACAGCAAGTGCGGTGAAATGAGTTACGCCGAGCGTGTGAACGAGTCTATGAATGGTGTGGAAAACGTGTTTGCTATGACTTCGATGATTGTCGGGTACTCAGCACGAGGCGAAATGCCGAAAGCCAAGAAACTCTTCGATTCGTTGTCCGAGAAGAATTTCGTCGTGTGGACCGCCGTAATTTCCGGTCACGTGAAGCTACAACAATGCGACGAGGCTTTTGATCTTTTCCGCGAGTATACCGCGCGAGAGGGCAAAAACGGGTTTTTCCCGGATGGCGTGATTCTCGTTAGCCTACTCGGCGCGTGTGCCGCGCAAGCGAGCGTGGACCCGGGAAAACAAATCCACGCGTATATATTGCGAACCGGAATTCAAACGGACGAGAAAAAATCGACAAGTGCCTTGATCGACATGTACTCCAAGTGCGGCTTCATATCATACGCGCGGAGAATTTTTCCGAGCGTCGATTTACGAGACACCATCATTTACAACGTCATGATTTCGGGTTTAGCTCATCACGGGTTCGAACGCGAGGCCATCGAGTGTTTCGAGGAGATGATCGTAAACGGGCGGCACAAACCGGACGCCGTGACGTATATCGCGATTTTATCCGCGTGCCGACATTGTGGACTTGTCGAGGCCGGCGAGAAGTATTTTTCCGAGATGAAGGAAAATTACGGGATTGCCCCCGAGATGGACCACTACGCGTGCATGGTCGACTTGTACGGGAGGTCAAACATGCTTGAAAAGGCAGTTGAGTTCATGGATAAGATGCCTTTCGAGCCGGACTCGATCACGGTTAGTGCTTTCTTGAACGCGTGTAGGGAGAATAGGAATGTCGAGCTGGCGAAAATGGCGGAGAGGAAGTTGAATGAGGTGGAAAGGGGTGCTGACGGGTCGAGGTATTTCCAGGTGGCGAGCGTGTATGCGTCGGGTGGGGAGTGGGAAGAGAAGGGGAGGGTTATGAGGAGGATAAGGGAGATGGAGGCGAAGAAGCTCGCGGGCTGCAGTTGGGTTCGGGCCGGGAATGGGCTTCGTGTGTTTACAAGTGGTGATAGGTTGCATTGTGAAGCTGTGGGTTTGGATGGTGTTGTGGGATTGTTGATTGATGAAATGTGTGATAAGGATTGTGTAGATGAAAGTCATGTATTGATGGTATAAATGTTTTTTGATGATTTTTTTTTTTTATTATAAATATTTTGTGTTGAGGCTCTTGTTAGAGGCGATTAAGAGAATTGTGGATGGAAAAATTTTGAAATTTGATTTGCAAATTTTGGGATCAATTAATCTTTTGATTTTTTTTGTTTTTAAAATATCTCATTTTTTTGAATTCATTCGCACTCAGCAAACTGAATTTTTCACGTGGATATAAACAGCCGAACATGCTGATTTTTTAACCTCCGATAAAAAATAGGTTCGTTTTGCAAAAGTACGACAAGGTCGAGATTATATTGCAATTATCCAAAGGTTGGGAATAAAGTGAGTGCTTATTTAGCAATCAATCTTTTTATTTATGTGTGTTTATTTTTGTGTTGTCAGCTCTAAGCTATCTCTGAGTAGACGTCCTCTCAAATTTAGTTTAGTAGATGATTGATTCAGTTATTTCCAAGACGTAGATTTTCTTGCTTATTATTAATATAAAGTATATCACTTGGAAAAAAAATAAATTGCTGATCTTAGGTTTCATCTTCACAACAAATTGTATATATGATATAATATGTTACTTCACTAAAGGTTATATATATCATATAATATGCAATCACAGTTATTTTAATAAGGGCTATAGCTTAGTCAGAAATGCTCTCCTGCCCACAGTGGGCACATGTTAATATGCCCACCGCTTATGTGGCATGCAAACATTGTTGATGTTAATATGTTAAAAGAAATACATCACCAATATATGAATGCCACATAAGCGATAGACATATTAACATGTGCCCACCGTGGATATGAGAACATTTACCTTAGCTTACTTTGTAGAGCATCTTGTTTACATGATGCATCAATGTTTTTCTGGGGAGTTCATCATACAATGCACAAAAACGGAATCAAGTAGTTATTTTCTTTTAGCACTAAATAATTAATTATTCACAATCTGCCAATCTAATAAACAAGTTAAACTCTTTATTTCAACCGTTTACATGCTATGAACTTTCCCTTTTTTTTTTTTTATATATATATATATATAATTTAATGCTATGAACTAGTTTCAATCATTTATATGCCAAGTGAAATCCATGGTCAACATTTATTCAAATTATTATATTGGATACTCAATCGGGATAAGGAGATGTAGTCCAAAATTATATTGTAATTTATGTATCATTCTTAATAAAATTAAACATGAATTGAAAAATAATTTTAGACAGAAAATATTATCCCCTATTTATATTATGAATCTTTCATATTAGTCAATGTATTAACTTGATATTTGAGTAACATTCTAAACTTTTTAAATTCTATACTTTTAAATCTAGTTACATCATAGCTTTCTATTTTACTAAAATCTCAGGAATTTTTAATATTTTTCTGTCTTAAACATATTTTTATTTATAATATAATAAATCTTAATAAGCACAAACCACAATTAAAATAAATTAAATATTCCCAAACTTAAAAAAAAATAAAAATCCTATATTAAATAAAACAATACTCTCGCAGTTGTATAAAAAAAAAAAGAAAAAAAGAAAAAAAAAGGATTTTGCAATCGCAACCTAAAACAGCTCTGTTTTCAGCTGATACCTGTTGAGCTTACCACTGCTGAACGAATCGAAATTTTTAAGCAGTTTGTGTTCGCCAGCAATGGCTCTATTTGGATCCATCATGTCCGGCGAGGTATGGTTACATGTTCACTCTTATAGCCATTTGCTGTTATTCTGAAATCGAGAAATTCATGTATTAGTTCATTTGTCATGATAACAGCTTGAGGATGAAGGAATATGTAGCTATACTGTGCGATTTTCTGTTTAATTCGTTTGCTGTAGCTTTAAATTTCGAAATACGAGTCAAAAAGTTGAAATGAATCGAGTTAATTAGGTTGAATTTCTCTCTGTGTGTGATTACGGTGATTAATGGTGTATGGGAATCAATGGAGTCTGATACTTGTGTTTGCTCGATCGTTTTTCTGCACGGTTGTTAGCTAATTTAGGTTATTTGTGAAAAATTCGAACCTACCGTTGAGAGCTGGTTTTTTACCCTTTGGTGATTCAATGGTAAAAACTAGGATTGGATTTTCCACTGTTTGCATTTGTTCTGAGAATATGAATTTTTATGCTCCGAATTCTTGCAGGTTGAGAGCTGGTTTTTTACCCTTTGGTGATTCAATGGTAAAAACTAGGATTGGATTTTCCACTGTTTGCATTTGTTCTGAGAATATGAATTTTTATGCTTCGAATTCTTGCAGGTTGGGTTGCGATTGCTTCTTTGCCCTCTTGGCTCTAATGTGGTTGTCCGAACGGCATGGTGGGTTTTTTTTTTCTTTTTTTTTTCCATGATTC